TCTTTCTGTTTTACACTTAATATTAATTACTCAGCTAAAATTATTTTTCAAGATGTAAGACTAAATATTAATTGATATAAATATTCATTTTAATCATTATTTTTAAAGAGACGCGTAACGTCCAAAATCGACAAATAAAGGTGAGCAAGAAAAATATGTTGCATGTTAATGTTTAACATTAGATACAATTACTTTTTTCGTTTTAAATTATCTATCACGATTCTCTTTTATATTTGTAAGTCAATGCTATATTTTAATATTTAAGTTTTCCTGGAGTATTATTTTTGTCGAGTCATATTACTTTAACTGAATTGTGTGTTCACCTTATTTTAAATTTTACATTTTTTAAATATAAAATTTTCTTATTTATTAGATTTATGTATAAGCATGTTACTTCAGGCATATACTTGATTCCCATTCATGATCAATCACGTAATAAAACTTGAACTCTTAATCTTTTTATTCATATATCATCACATATAATCATATTATCTAAAACTTAAAAGATATTAGGATGAGATTTTTAAATTTTATGTTATGATGGGATAAACTATTTTTCAAACAATATATTAAAATAAAGTTGACTGTCGATATTTAATTGGTTGAAACATGTCATTTGTACAAATGACCTATTTTTAATTTTTTATTGGTCTTTAAGTAAACTACACATGTTATGTTATTTTAACATGTGACATGATTTTATTGGCTTCTTCATTTAATATGGCATGGTGTTGTGCCACGTCATTTGATTGGAGACACTAAACTAAACCTTTAAAATAGTCTTTTTAGAATTTAACAAGTGAGCTCATAATTTATAGACATAATACATATATATGTTATTTAATTTGGTTTTTAACTCATATTTATATCCTTCAATTTTGAGTGTGCACATATATATACACTTAATAAAGTTGAACAAATATACACACACGTCATACATGACATCCTACATGATAATTATACAAATCTAAAAATTGAAAAGATAAATATGAAAGAAAGTCAAGTTAAAAGATATATTTATATATAATATGCTTTATTTATAAATAAAATTGGACTTCAGTTAAATTCATATGAAAAGAATTTACAATATGAATTTACACCGTGGATAGTTTTTAAAATAAAATTTACAGATATTTCTGTTGGAAACAAAAACTATATATATTTAGTAACCGACAAATTAATTAAAAAATAATCCACGTGAAATATTTTCCTTAATTTATTAGCACTCCATTATTTTCCACCAATAAGTCACGTCTCCTAATCACACTTTTATTCTGTTTAGTGACAGACCATTACCTCCTAAAACTCTCAAATTCTGTAAACCTCCTCATTAGTATAATCACAAACTCTTTAATTTAATTAAAGTCCTAATCCTACTTAATTTTGAAGTGAAAATCTCCGGTCTATAAATACCAAACTTTCATTGAGTATACAATCATTCTGCTTTTCTTCTCTGTTTCTGCTTTTACTAATTACTAATCGATTCGATTCTCTAGTTTTTCTTGATTAAGAGAGATATGGATGTTGATCTAACCCCAAAGTTGGCTAAGCAAATTTATGGAGGAGATGGTGGTTCTTATCATGCATGGTGCCCTAATGAGCTTCCCATGTTGAAGGAAGGAAATATTGGCGCTGCCAAAATTGCTCTGTCAAAGAATGGATTTGCTTTGCCTCGTTACTCTGATTCTGCTAAGGTCGCTTATGTTCTTCAAGGTAACCATTTGGGGCTTTTTTTGTTTTTTGCTGGTAATCGTAATGGTTTTCTTTTTCTGCTGATTAATGGGGTTTATTGTGTTTTTGTTGTTCTGATTTGTGGGTTCTTCTTCAATTTTTGATCTTTAGACGAAATTCTTATTTGGGGATTCTGTTTATGAATCATTGGGTTTTGATGGAATTCTACTTGTTTGAGTTTATGGGTTAGATTAGTCTTGGATTTGATTGGTTTGGGTTCATCATCTAGGTCTTGTATGATCCATCTGTTACTGTAAATCCTGCTTTTTTTTTCATAAACATTGAAACGGTGCCATATAAATTGGCAGAGCTGAGCTAATTAGAAGTTTGTTTTCATCTATATTGTTAAAAAAACGTTTTTCATAATTAAACATCTTCTTGCCTTTGTTGCATTGGGTATACATCTGTTTATTTTAGTACTACTCCATATTTATGTGATCAGGTTGTGGAGTTGCTGGAATTGTTCTTCCTGAGAAAGAAGAGAAGGTGATCACCATTAAGAAGGGTGATGCTATTGCTCTTCCTTTTGGTGTTGTAACATGGTGGTACAACAAAGACGATACTGAACTTGTGGTTCTCTTCCTTGGTGATACCAAAACTGCACACAAGGCTGGTTCATTCACTGACATGTACTTGACAGGTTCCAACGGGATTTTCACTGGTTTCTCAACTGAGTTTGTTAGCAGGGCATGGGATGTAGAAGAGAGTGTTGCTAAGACTCTAGTTAGCTCCCAGACTGCTAAGGGGATTGCTAAGCTGGATGCAGGCTTCCAAATGCCCGAGCCTAAGCAAGCCAACAGGGATGGTATGGTTCTCAACTGTGAGGAAGCCCCATTGGATGTCGATATCAAGGGTGGTGGAAAGGTGGTTGTTTTGAATACCAAGAACTTGCCATTGGTTGGTGAAGTTGGACTTGGTGCTGATCTTGTTAGGTTGGATGGAAGTGCTATGTGCTCTCCCGGTTTTTCATGTGACTCAGCCCTTCAGGTTACTTACATTGTGAGAGGCAGTGGTCGAGTTCAGGTTGTTGGCCCTGATGGTAAGCGTGTTCTGGAAGCACATCTCAAAGCTGGTAATCTCTTCATTGTTCCGAGGTTCTGTGTTGTCTCAAAAATTGGTGATCCTGATGGCATGGATTGGTTCTCCATTATCACTACCCCCAAGTATGTTTGTTTTTGTACATTGTCTATGTCAAATTATAACGTGCTAAAACAGATTATTCTAACTATCTTGTTATTTGACAGTCCAATATTCACTCACTTGGCTGGAAAGACTTCAACCTGGAAAGCTCTATCCCCACAAGTGCTGCAGGCTGCTTTCAAGGTCTCACCGGATGTTGAGAAGCTATTCAGCTCCAAGAGAACTGCAGAAGAGATTTTCTTCCCGCCACCAAACTGATCCGTCACGTTGCTCTGGGAATTGTATCTGTCTTAGATTTACTTATCTTGTGTTGAAAGAACAAGTAGTATCTTTACTTAATATCATAATTTAGTTGCTCTTTTCTTTGGTTCTAAAATTTGCTATTGGAAACTTCCCTTATACTTTTCCAACTTTTATATAATTTTATCAAATTAGCAAATCGTGGTTCATATATAATATCTATTGGAATATCTTAAGATTTCAAATTATTGAAGATTGATTTATGGCATCATAGAACATGATACCATCACTTTTAAGAAAGTGAACTTGTCTACCTTTGATGAACTTTTTTTGTGCGTTATACAAGATCAGACTAAATGTTACAAGAATAACTTAACGTTACTTATTAATTTTGTCTATTGCCATTTGATATTTGAAAATCCGAAACAATATAGCTTAATATTGCTAAATATAAATTACTTACAGATTGTATTTTATAAATTTTCGTTGTCCACAGTAACATTATCACTTTTAAAATCAAACATAATTTTAACTTGATCCAACATCTTACTCACATAGGCTGGAGGCTTGAATTCACCTATCAAGGAGTTTGATATCTCATTTTAATATCAAGTAATCACATATATCAAAATATTCGAAACATCGAGAGTATTTCATATTTAAATTTGGGATAGAAACATGATAGTATTTTATATTTAAATTTGGAACTCTTTAGAGGTGATTTTAAGTTGATCAAGAGTATACTTCATGTATAGTCTATATATAATATGTATACTTCTAACAAGCTATAATGTATAGATCATGTGACTTTTTAACTATTTTTATGTAAATAAAACATAAATATATTTATTGTAAACTAATTTATTTCTTTTAAGTAATATATTTGAAATTAAGTCATAATAATTTCCGTAATTATTATCTCTTACCCACAATAATTTCCGAAACTTGCAAGTTGCAAATATTAGAGAAAATGATCAAAATGGTCCTTAATGTATGGCTTTGATTCCATTTGGTCCTTAATGTATGAATTTGATGGAAATGGTCCTTTATGTATCATAAATTGTGATCAATTTGGTCCTTAACCCTAAAATTAATATTTTATTTTATTTTGCCGTCAAAATACACGGAATATGTAAAAGATGCGCTCGTTTAAGACTTTCCTTCCCCTGTTTCCAAAAATTCCAAAATGGCACATCAATTTTTTTTAACCAAAAGGGCAAAATCGCTCCTGACGGAGCGATTTTCTTCTGACAAAATTGACGTTGTTACTCCTTTAAAAAACATAAAAATCGCTGCCGGTCCAAAAAAAATTTCTTTTTTCTTTAAAATCGCTGCTGTGAATTTTTTTTTTAACAACGCTGCCCCAACAACGTTTAAAAAATAGAAATAGCTGCTATAGCAGCCATTTTCTTAAAAAAGTTTTAATTTTTTTTATTAAAAATTCCCGAGGCGAGGACTGCTTAAAAAATAATGGGAAATCGCTCCACGTGTAGCGATTTTAGTTATTTTTTTTAAAAAAATAATCACAGTCATTAAAATTTTAGGATTAAGGACCAAATTGATCACAATTTATGATACATAAAGGACCATTTCCATCAAGTCCATACATTAAGGACCAAATGGAATCAAAGCCCATACATTAAGGACCATTTTGATCATTTTCTCCAACTATTACCCTTTACCCACAATCCACATAGTCGTCACTCATTTAGTAGGTCCCATCTATCTGACGTGTCCTGACACTAGGAGAAGTTACAGAAAATACCAAAATTATAAAAAAAGGAAAACGAGAAGAGGAAAACGTAAACTCGCCGGCGATTGCCCTGACATCTTCATATTATATAAATCTCACTCTTCTCTTCCACCTTCCAAGTTCTGATAGTACTCTCCTTATCGGAGTTGATTTTCCGGCGAACGCAACTTTGAACTCCGACGGACATTCTAGAGTTTCTTCATCCAAGGTTAGCTATACATTTCTCATTTCCGGCTTCTGCACATCTGTAATAAATAAATAAATGTATATCTGCGCGCATGCTAAGACTTGTTAGGTTAATTTGTTTTTTTTTAAATTATTGTTTTGATAAATAGAGCTGGTGGCGGCGGAGGTGATTGGATGGGATATGGCGGAGCCACCGTTGTTGCCGTTGAAGGAGAACAAGATAGCCAAAGGAACTTTTGCAGTGGTTGGAATCATGTCTACTCTAGTCATTTATGGCATCTTACAGGTGTGCTGCTTCTGCTGTATCATGATCTTCACAATGTGTGTGTGTGTTCGATTAATACAAGCGTAATAAGCACCGCTGCAAGAACTAGTATGTGTTATACATCTTGTTTTGATAGGTGAAGCTAATATAACAGTTGAAGGGTTTAGGCGTAAAGATTTTAGTGATTGTATGATGCCTAAAAGAAAATGAGGAGAAACAATTAGAAGTTTGATATTTATGTATTTCATACTTGAAAAGAAAAAAAAAAGGAAAAGTAACTGCCTTTTGTGATGTTTGTGGAGAAGGGCAGGAAGCTCTAACTGCTTGCATTGAATTTGGTAATGGTAAAGTTTTTTTTTCTTTTTGCAGTTTGGGCAAAATAGATTTGGTATTTTAGCTAAAAGAAGTATAGAAATTTCTTGTCTAATGTGCTTTTGGTTTTTTAATACTAAGACATTTGAATGAATACTTACCATTCCAAAAAAAAAACAAAGCAAAACAAACTAAAACTAAGACATTTGAAGTTTTATTTGTAATGTATGGTTCTCTCTAATGATGCTTTCATCTGTTTGGATGGGCTTTTGAGTGATTTGGTGGAGCTTCTTATAACTTCTTCTCTCATGACTAGATTTTAGCTGCTATGATAATTTGACCTCTATGCAACAGAGACAAGTTAATAAAATATTTTGTGTGATATAACAGGATAAGTGTATCATTCAGTCTTTCCTATTTAATATTAAGAATTTTTTATTTGAGATTTATTCTGGAATTGTGCAAAAATGTAAATGTAAATGTTTGTTGTATTCAAGATTTCTGCTTAATGGTGTCTTTATAAAAAAAAAGACTTGTGCTTAAGGTGAGGACCCTAAAAATTTAACAGGGAAAGCTGTAAGATATGAAGATCACCTAGTACAAGCACGGTTATATAGAACTTTTCTTTTGATGAGGAAGTAATATTGCAGCAAAGGAGGCGATGGCTCACAATACAAGAAGTATACATGTGAACACACGTAATAAAATAAAATATAAAAAAGTCCTTCCAAAAAAATAGCCGAATCACATATACATATTAGTAAAGTTTGAGCTGCTTCACTTTATTCATCTGCCTGCATACATATTTTTTGGATTGTATAACATTGTCACCCATTTTTGTTTGCGGAGAAAGTATTTCGTAAAATAAGTGCTTATTTGGTAGGTTAACTAAAATTAAGCTATTGAAATTACCATCTCAAGACATGCAAAGACGTTTCATTGAGGGAATTTATTCTCTCATCAGATGAATCTATTGATTATGAGACTGGAATTACCAGAGCAAAGTCCGTCCCATGCCTAAATTAAAGTGAAGGCTATTGTAGGTTGATGACTAGCGTAAAAATACTCCAAGTATGATGAATCTTATGTACTTGGACATAGAAATCTCATCCATTCAACCTCAACTAGTTTGGGATTGACACAGTTGATTAATTGGTATAGATATTGTGTATCACTCAGTGGGGCCACATCTTGCAATAGTGCTGAGTCTCTCAGGCAGTTTACTAATAATATGCACAAATGAGTCAGTAAATCACATGTTCTCAACATAAACAACACACCCAATGTAATCCCAAAGGTGGGGAGAAAATCACACGTTCTCTCTTACAATTATCTGCTAGGGGAAACTGTCTGCACATGTAATAACAATTTTTAGATTTTCCATTAGTTGATAAGAGCTCAAATTTGGTAAAGTCCAGCTGTAAGTTTGAGGCATTATCATATGGCTCATATTTTGTCTTTTCTGTTCAGCATGATGAAAGTGGGTACTAAAGACCTTTTTATATCTCTGCACAATTTGTTGCTTCCTAGTTGCTTGTCATTTCAATACTTCATAGAGTTTTGCTTGTAATTTAACTAGAGACTCACAGTACCTTGTTAAAAGCAAACTGCTTTGATGACCACTTTAAGATCTAGTTCCTCGATTGACCCTCCTTCCCAAAGGCTTCTTTCTTAAGTGAAAATTTGGTTTAATTTAAAAAGGGAATCCCAGTAGCCAAGCATATGTTGTCTTTTTTTTTTTTTTTCAATTTCTTTCTGTAGCTTCATCAGTGAAATTGCCTGTTTAACCATCCGCTTATATAGCATATATATATGTTCTGCAGTACTTGACGCTTCTGTCCATTGTGTACTGGTAAAACAAAACATCTTTGCTTCTCGTATTTACAATAATATGTATTTTCTATTTTTAACATGGTGATGGAATTTGTACATGCAGGAAAAGATCATGAGAGTTCCCTACGGACCGAACAAAGAATTTTTTTCGTACTCATTGTTTCTTGTCTTTTGCAATCGGATTACCACCTCTGCGGTCTCTGCCGGAGTTTTACTGGTAGTGGAAAGATTTCTGGCTTTGTTCATCTACTTTCTTTTGTGTATTAAGAGCAGAAGGCTTATATAATACTGCAAATATTCTTCTGTTTTCTCTAATCTGATTTACTTGTTATTCCTAGGAATTTGTAAAAACAGTTTGCATTTTGCTCCTTTCATTTTATTCTTTTTAATTTTCAGGCAAGTAAGAAGGCCTTGGACCCAGTAGCTCCACTCTATAAATATGGTGTTGTTTCTATTTCTAACATCCTTACAACTACTTGTCAGTATGAGGTAAACTAAGAACATTTGGAGAAGGAACTGAAAAATGAGTTAAAAGCATTAGAAGATTTATCAACTTGTCATATAACGAAGCACTGGCTATTGTGATGACTTCTTTCTTCAGGCTCTCAAGTACGTTAGCTTTCCTGTTCAAACCCTGGCAAAATGTGCCAAGATGATACCTGTAATGGTAAGTTAAGTTGCTGGATAGATTGCTGTAATTGCTTAGTAACTACTGCATGCAATTCCTCTTGGTCTGGACTTCTCTCATATATACATGAATAAAGCTCTATTGCACGTGTTTGAGTTTTGGTATTGCTATTTTTAGGCTTAGCCAAAGCATTTTGTTTGGAATTAGTCACATCCATGATATCATATTGGTGTACTTTGAAGTTTGAAAATCCTTTTGCGTTTTTTAATTCTAGAATTTTACTCATTCTTAATTGAAATCCAACTGTCTGGTTAATAGGTATGTTACTGAAGTTTACTGCAACACTAAAACTATTGGAGTTTGCTAGGTTGTGTGTCATATTAGATATAATAAAGCAAACCAAGAGCCCTTTAACCCCCGACACTGGAAAAGTCTGTTTGTATAATTTTCTTCAAGGCATCTGATAATTAGATGTCATCTTGCTTACAATGTTCTTGTGTAGACAGACCATAATATTTAACTGTCCTTTCTAGTTGATGTTTTCTCTTTTCCTTTTGTGCTGATGCAGATCTGGGGTGCTATCATTATGCAAAAGAAGTACCAAGGACAGGACTATCTTTTGGCATTCCTAGTAACTCTGGGTTGTTCATTATTTATTCTGTATCAGGTATTACTAATATCTTGTTTTGAATTTCCTGTTGGATATTATACAAATTGCTACTTTCTCAAATTATTTCAAGAATTGTTCACTTTTCAGAATATATTGATCATGTCAAACATTCATAAATGATGTTTACATTTTCGAAAATATTTCATAAATGATGTGTTTTTAATGTCAACCATGGTATCATCTTTTAATTACTGAATTTGTCTTCCATCATCTTTGAGAACTGCTGAATGATCTCATGCTTTTCCATGTTCATTCAGTACAAAACACAAAAAAACCTTAAAACCAATTTAAGATGATGATGCATCCGTTGACTGTTGATGTTCAAAGCACCTCCTGGTAAATCAGCCTGTTATCCACATGAGATCATGTTATGCCTTCAATTTCAAACTCAAGAAATGATTTCTTTGTTCAACCTCTCAGTTCTGATTATATCTACCTGCTGCTTAGTCTTTCATATATCTTTTTCTTTTTCTTTTTTTGGCGGCAGGGGACAAGTCAGAAAACTCCATAAAGGATTTCCAGACCCTCAAATGATACTAATTTTCCCCTCCAAATTAACCAAAAATACAAAGAAGATCATTCTTCACAAATCTTTCTAAAAGATCTGAACTTGCATCCTGAGTTGAGTATGAGAATTGCTACATTTTAGTTAACGAGGTTGTTGGGAAAATTGAAGTATACATATAGCCAAACTTATGTTGCACTACTTAATTAGTCTCTGAAGCAGTTGGAAAGTCCAACGATTGGATGGGATACCTAAGTATCAATAAACTCAAGTTTCAGAGCGTATTTTTTTTCCTATTATTGATAAAACTACCCAGAACGCCCGACCCCTAAGTTTAAACTTTCCTGAAGCTAAACTTCATGCTCCCACTATTGAAAACTGCACAATGGTGCCCCAGTGCTTTCTTCTTTTGTTGAGCATAAGGGTCCTCCAAGTTGAAAATCTCAAAGTCATAGTTTTCTGGCTATCCAGAAGAGACTTCTAGCAAACATGTTAACGGTTGAGCCCTTGAGTCTTGCATAAGTAACTGAATTTCACCACCAAGGAGTCATGGCGTCCAAGTATCCTATCAAACCTATTAACTAGCTGAGACACAAGCACTTTGATATTGCAGCACTCCTGCTATTTGGGCAGTCATTGAGTACAACATCTCTTAAACTATGGTTTCACTAGGTTCTTAGGTGAAACAGTTATTTTCTTGTTTGTGTTTTATGTTACTTGCTCATTTTAATAGTGTCAACAATCAAATATATTGAAGTTTTCATGTGCATGAGCTATTGTTTCCTTAAATCTAGTCCCAAAAGTTGGTCAATGTGAACTCACATAGAACATGGGTTAATTAGAAGGTATAATGGCCTTGGGGAATTCAACTTTTTTAAGAACTGAAATATCATAGATAATTTGTATTCTTTATTTTTTAATTCTAAAATTACAACATACTTCTTATTTATGACCTCCAACAACACAGAAATATAGCATCCATGTTTAAAGAGCACATGCCATGTCCTCACTGTGGAATGGTTGTAGCTCTAGATGATGGTCAGGATTTTTGGTTCACAGAGATCATTTAACAAAATTTTCTACTCCCTCCGTCCCAATTTATGTGGCACCCTTTCCTTTTTAGTCCGTCCCAAAAAGAATGTTACCTTACTATAATTAGTAACAATTTAACTTTAAAATATCCATTTTACCCTTAATGAAATGATTTTCACCTACACAAATATCTAAGAATTGTTTTAGACCACAAGTTCCAAAATTCTTCCTTTTTTTCTTAAACACCGTGTCAAGTCAAGTCAAATGGTGCCACAAAAAATGGGACAGTGGGAGTATTTGTTGTTCTTTGCAAGTTGCAAGCAACATCAAAGTTCTGAGGTGTTGTGCTATACCTCCCTACAACTCTACGAGAATGGGTAGTTCTTTGTCTCCATCTTTTAGAATGAATGAAAACTGCCACGAGGCACAAGATTGATTTGGAAAAGCTAAAGTGGATGCTGCGGTTTATCTTGTTAATTGTGTCACCTAAACCATTTGTTGTATATTATTACCAGCAATTGACAAGTTTTCATAGTTTTTACTGATTCTACAAAATAAATATGCTTGCTAAATTCATGTTTTTGTATATTTTTGGAGCACTAACAATACCCCAACTAGTAGAGAGGACTGGATTAATTTTTTAGAAAGAAGCTCTAGCTTGCAGAATTCGTTAATGATGTGTACTTCCTGTTTACTGCTTAATTCCATTTTTCCTGTAAAATTATTACTGAAAGAATTTTTTTCGGATTGGCTGATAGCCATGCTTGTATTTGGCTTGTTAATTTCTGGACTTGCATTAGCTTCTACGATTACTCCACTTGGTAATGCTTTTGCCTTTCTGTGTTTGGTCTAAGGGTGCAGGTGACATCAGTCCCTTCAATAGAGGAAGGGAAAGCACAGTCTGGGGAGTTTCTCTGATGATAGGCTATCTTGGGTATGAATTATAACTCACATAATCTTCCAGCATTTTTAAACCTTTAGTTGTTGGGTTAACAAAATGCTAAGTTACGGATCTGGATTTGCTAAATGTCAAGATTTGTTTCCTTAAGAAGATTGAGTACCCGACCTTGTAGAAAGTTGGCTTTCAACTTACCATCTCATAGTGTGAATTTGACTGATATTGTGCATTGAAATTTTACACACGATCGCTTCTCTTTTACTTGCTCACTGCATCATCTCACTTATTCTGTTATATCACCAAAAGAATGACTGACTGAATCCTTTTCTAAATCATATTTACTGTCGAAAAAATATTTCTGTTTAAAAAAATTGTATTTGGATCATATTTTTTTACTTATTTCTCATTCTCAAATTTACTCCATGTCTTTCCCCTGTCAATTGGATAATTCTACTTTTCGATGCTGTGGTCCAACCCTCAAAGCCTAATTAATTGGTCAACTGAAGAATTGTGAAAACACCTGAGTGAAATGTAATGGTCAAAATCATGGTTCTCCACCTCCACTGAAGTGCAAATGCAAGAAAGGTTATTTGGTGCATGTCAGAATGAAATTTTTTATGTTAACATAAACTAAAATATTAAAAATATCCTGGTTTTCACGAGTCACATATATATTAAATACTCAAGACAAACACATCTACAAAATTTTACATCAGAAAGAAAATATACTTTTAGCAATTTTTGCATTCTTCAGTTTTGTTCCGTCTTTTCCCTGCCTTTTTTGGGGGACAACTAATATTTCAATGGAAGACTTCTTTTTCTTGAAAGAACGATCGTGCCAATATGCTTCTGATGTTTTGCGCAGGATATAATTTTGCATTTTAGGTTGTTGAGATAGTTATCTGTTAAAGGAGCAACACCATATATTGTTATTTCCTCCTAGGAAATTGAATGTTTGCACTTTGCTGGTGTCTGCATATTTTTTCTGGGATGTTACAAGCTTTATCAGTCATCTGATCTCGCAGGTTTGATGGCTTCACGAGTACTTTCCAGGACAAACTTTTTAAAGGCTATGATATGGAAATACACAATCAAATATTCTATACAACGGTCTGTTCGTGTCTTCTTAGTTTCACCGGTAAGATCTAATTTTTTGGAATTGGGTAACAAGCCTTTGCAACTATTGAATACAGTACCATTTAAAAAAAGGCCTTTGCAACTATTGAGTGTGTATTTGGTGGACATTTGAGAAATTCACTTTACACTTCCAGAAGATAGTTCGCTGAACCATTTTGTTGTTTAGAGTGTCTTCTCACTGAGCATGATATATCCAGTTGACTCTATGTTTTTCATGTGCACCATAGGACGGAAGATTGTGGCTTTTATTTTTAGGTACCTCATTGTGGTTAATGTTTTACCCAAAATCTTTAATGTAATAATGATTTTTAAAGTTTGTCACAGAAAATTTGTCACACATGCTGATTGGTTAGATTCCAAGCTACAGTAATGTTTGGTTTTGAATGAGTTGTGAATTTACAAAAGATTCCGGGTATTGATATCATTGCACTCGATTAATTTTCCACAATTATTTCCCAATATATTTACTATAAAGGATTTATTAAGCACTTTCGTATACATGATTGTGGATTATAAACTCTAGCAGAAACATCCACACATAATGCAGGCTACTGGTTTTTATCTAATTTTATGCCTGCTTCCTGCTATTTAGTTATAGTTTTTTCCGCAGGTACTACTGGTTATAACTAATGTTATCACGCTTTATATTACATGTGATGTTTATCTAGGTTTTATCCAAAGACTAGATACTAACTGGATTCTGTTCTCTGTTTTCCATACAGGTCTAATTTTGCAAGGCAATCTTCTCATGGCAATAGATTTTGTATCCCGCCATCATGATTGTTTCTTTGATATTGCTCTGCTTTCAACTGTAAGTTCCCTGTAGAGTTGCTTTGCTTAAACAGTTATCCTGGTTTCACAAGTATCTGTGTTACCAAACCTTGCTGATACTGAAAGATGCATGTCAAGAAACCAATTACTTCTTTTACTTTTGAAATGGAGAAATTGGGGACGAAACACTGATATTGTGTTTCGGTTGCAGGTAGCAACTGCAAGTCAATTTTTTATTTCTTACACAATCCGCACATTTGGTGCTCTAACATTTGCAACCATAATGACCACAAGACAGGTATTCAGAAATAGTTCTCAAAAAATTGTCTTCTTCCCTCTAAACTAAAACTGTGGCACCTAATTAAATTAAATTTGTGTAGTTGGTGAGCATTTTACTGTCATGCTTGTGGTTTGGCCATCCTTTGAGCTGGGAGCAATGCATCGGAGCTGTAAGCATCAACGTTGTCTCTCTGTTGGTTTTACTTAAAAAAACAAAAAAAAACAAAGTATTCTAGTTTGATCTCTTTTTTCAGGTTATCGTGTTTGGATCCCTTTATGCAAGAAGCTTCTTGAAGACAAAAGAGAAGGCTGAAACTAAAGCCCCAGGTGGTTCATAAGGAAAAGTCTATCACAAAATAAGTGAATTTGAAAAATATTCATCTCTCTGCAACTTTGAAGCTGCTGTGTAACTAACTAAACAAGGCGTGCTATTTTTGGAATTCCATACGGAAGGCTACTTGCTGGTGCATACAACGGCATAAGCAAGATTTTGACTAGCCTTCCTTAAATCTTTGCAGGTCAAATTACAGCCTCACTAAGCAAAAGAAGTTGTATGATCTTTATTCAAAGACTTATATATTTCCATGTTTTTTTGGCTACTTCAAAAGGATGTAATATAGACAGTGCGGTGTTCTCTTTTCAAGATTTCACAAGTAGAAAAGGTTTGTTCTTACTACTCATTTAATGAAATTTTCTTGTCCAAGTATTTTTAATTATGACTTTTTCTCACTAGAAAATGTTTGCCCTGGGGAATTAGTTCAATGTTAGTTATCTGATTCGCAAGACAATTTTTTACCCTTATTAAAAAAAATAAAAAATTGCTGTACAAGTTATACTATACTAGTTCACACTATTGGACTTATGCCTGAAGGTACAAATTATGTCTGAGGAAAAAAAAAAGAAACCATAAAACACAGGTTATGCCCTATAAAGCACAGACTTCTATAGATTCATATTATAGTGCACGATAGAAATTAAAAGACAACTCCAGGTGTATATATTACCTTCTATCAGTATTGTAATCCAAGTATTTGAATTTGTTTAGTTATATAATTGTCTCATATAAGAAACTTAAATTCTTAAAAAGTAAATATTTATTTATTTATTTATATTATCTTCAACAAGATTCTCCCGATGCATATTATAGGATTAACTAATTTTCCTCGTCTTTATCTTAATATAAATAATTTAATGATAGTGCTCACCGCATTAAACAGTGTTCCACTTGTATGGGGATCTGAGTTTAACTTTGTCAAAAATGAAATACGTATACTTACATATAGAAAATTCATTTCTACTTACTCGGTCTCCAATTATCTATCGTGTTTTTAAAAAATAATTATTTCAAATAATTTATTATTTTTAGTAATTATTTTAAAAATTATAAAATAATGACTGATAACATATAAATAAAATAAATATTTAACAAAAATAAGTAAATTAAAATTAAAATTTTTAGAGAAAAAATTATAATTAATATATTTTAATAGACATATAAAGAGAACATAACAAATACTTCCTATGTTCCTAATTACTTGTCAACTTTTAAATTGACACACCTATTAAGAAAATAATTAATGGCATAATGAGTTTATCATTTTACCTCTATTAGTTATGAAGTGGATGGAAGTTCTACATTTTTAAAAATAATTAGTCATTTAATTGAGGGTATAATAGGTAAAAGTAAATAGTCCTTTCTTGATTTGTCAAAATGGACAAGTAATTAAGGATAACTATAAAAGAAAAAGTGGATAAGTAATTAGGAATAGAGGGGAGTACTAATTTAAGACAGAAAAAATATATAAGTCAACAACTATTCGGTTTATTTCAGTTTTCTTGGGCAGTTCACACATGCACCGCCCCCTAGGAAGATTATAGTCCTATTTCAAATGCGTTAAAGTAAGAGAAAAAATGACATATTTAAATAAATGTGTAGTATTGACGATTTACTTTTTGTGGTCATTTTATCAGAAAAAATAATTAGTTTTATTTTAATTTTTTAAAATAATAAATATTCTAAATCAATAATAATGATTAAAAGTGTTTCGAAGATGATTTAATTACGTTTATAGAGTTTTTCTACCTAAAATGTTGCATAATAAGAGGGAGTACATAATTTTTTACTTTTTTATTTTTAGTTTTTCATCCGGTGTTCGGAGCCCACATTGGAGCTCCGACTAAATTCGAATTGCGCACTGCAGGGCCCATTCGGGGGTGGTGCTACCAACAAGATTTTCTCCATATCTAGGGCTCAAACTCCAGACCTTTGATTAAGGATGAAACACTTCCACTAATGAAGTTGGTAAATAGAGTAAATATTTGAAATAATATTATAACTTAGATACAAATAAGATTAAAGTAGTGATTTTTTTTCCTATCAGTATACTTTAAAGGGAGTGTAAAGAAAAAAACGATAATTTTTTTTTTTAGTTGTCCACTGTATAATTTTGGAATGTCCATTAATATTTGTCAATTTTATAAAATTAATGAATAATTTATCATTTGTATTTATTTTATCGTTGCTATTAAATATTATTCATCGTATCAACAAATTTACAAAGTACCTCCTCCATTTTATATCAGTTGTCCAGTTTTCTCTTTATAAGTTTCTTAAGAAATCATAAATAAAAAGGTTATTAATAAAATTTTGTTAACATAATGAAGATTGATTGCTGAGCTTATTTTGGTGCCTTTTCATGTATATAAGTCAAATATAATATAAACCCCCAGCTTTCCTATAAAGTACTCCCTCAAAAATTCTTCAAGAGAATACACTGCTCTCTATTTTCTCCATATTTCATCTTTCAAATTAGTAAGGGTTGGTGATTTAGAGAGAAAAATGGAAGACATGGCTTCTTTATGGTCTTATCAACAGGTGAATGAATACCTCTTCATTTTCTTGTTTTTCCCAACTTTTCACTTGTGTTTATGGTTTATGTTTTTATTTGTTGTCTTGTACTTTTATTATTATTTTTCTGAACTGAACTGTTTTGAACTATATATTTTTTGGAGGAGTTCCTATCGAAAATAACCTGACGATAAGGTCTGTATACCATTCAAGGAAATATCAATTTTATCTTTGCTTGTGTAAATGGAAGTGTTGAGAATTTCTTTTCTTTCCACAGTCAATGTTTTTGTGCTTTTAGTCTTTTTGTTTGGTAAAAGTGATTGGATATTTTCATCATGACCTTCCTTTCATGCCCTGTTTAAGTTGTCACTTACTCTCCTAATTATACCGTATATTAATTAATATCGTAAAATGTAGGTTGACAAAGTGAAATTTCATCATTTTGTAAACTTTTCTCTTGACTTTTCTTTTTTCCATATCAAATATATATTGTTGCAGACAGTGGATGAATTGAGACAAAAGCTTTTGTACACTAATGTTGAACTTGAAGAATTGAAGGCAGATAAAAATGATGAAGTGAAGAAGAACAAAGAATATGTGAAGCAATTAATCCAAATGTTGAAGATAGTTTGTGAAGAAAGAGATGAAGCAAGAGTTCAAATTCAAAAACTACTCAACAAACTTGATAGTATTGTGATGATGAAGTCTACAAAAGCAAATTATTCAACTGATCAGTACTCCAATAGCCTGTCTTCAGAAACATACAATTACCATAATTCATTTTTCGATTCAGTTGCTTCCCCTGAATGTTCCAACAATATGGCTTATGATCATAACGTTGACAGTTGTGTTACTCAATTGGCCCCAAAAGTTGAATTGATTATTGAGAATCTTGTAAAGGGGAAAACTTTGCCACAACAAGGGAAACTGTTGCAAGCTGTAGTTGAAACAGGACCAATTCTGCAGACACTTTTAGTTTCAGGACAACTTCCTCAATGGCGAAATCCGCCTCATGTTTCCATTAAAGGGTGTCAATCTGATTCATCCTGAAGATTCAACATCATTGCATATTTCTCAACAAATGTTACATTTTGCTAATTTTGAGTCTGGTTTCTGTTTGGAAAATCACACTTTGATGTCTTGTCTGCTGGAAAGAGGCAAAGATTGTACTGAAACAAGTTGAAGGATATTCAATACCTTATGCTTCTAATTTCTGTATAAAGCAGACTGCTTGGTGTGAATGTTTAGTAGTAATATAAACATGGAAGAAGACTAAATTTCCAATTATGGCTTGTTTCACATCAACAATAGAGTTTTCATATTAGACATTTCTAGCTCATATCTCGAAAAGTAAAAGGTAAAAAATACATTCAGAGTGTTTGAATTTCATATTTAAACTATCATGTGTAACTTTCATACTTGAAATGTTTATCCAAATATGTTGCAGCTAGAAAGAAGTTGCAAGAGGTGATAACTGATAGTTTAACTGTGTTTTGATACCTGGACTATCACATAAGTTCAGGTGTATTTTTGATCCATTGGGCATGAAGATAAATAGGGAGATATATTGTCTAATTGAACATCTCCAAGGTAGACATTGAAATTCACCAACTTAATTATAATTGTAGCTCTATTTATATTAAAACGATAATTATAATAAGAATAAATACAAATGTCTATAGCTAGCACTTAATATAAATGCTTTTTTAATAACTCTAAATATAATAAGATTAACTTAATCATCATTAAATATTTTTGCAACAATATCACTTATATTATTACAAATATCTCTTTTGTTGTAGCACCGCCTAAAACCCCTACTTGGTGGTTCCTTCTCCCTACTCAATTTAATGTGTGTATCCTTTGACCAATGACTATTCGTTGGATGACTTACCCTTCACTGCATGCATTCTTCCTCCTACTAAAGGACATGTACAATAGCATGAAAAGTTATTAGGAATATTTTAAGTTTGAGTCTCCTAATTAGGTATAGAGTCACTTTTATTAGAGAGTGTTTTACCTCTCAATATAGAATTTTTAACCTAAATTTAAATTTAATCAAACTTTAATATAATTGATATTAGATATCGAGATAAAAAAAAACAAAAAGAAAATAGCATGACAAGTTGAAAACCAAATAAACCAATTCCTAGCTTTGTTTATAATTATTAGCAGCCTCAGCACATGATTTTTTTGTTCATGCATATCACTCTACCATTTTCTTATCACATCAGTGGATTTCGTGTCAAAACTTCTTGCTTATAGTGCCAAAATTATAAACCATAAGTTTTTAATTAGTCTCAAAAGCACAAAATGATATTTTTTTACCCCGTAATAATTATGCTAAAAGGTGTAATATCTTTCGACTTAATTGATCCTACATTAATTTTGTGGAGTCTCTCTTTAATTCCTTCCACTTTTTACCCTTTATGTTCGGTAGTCTTCTGAAAGAAAGCTATTCTGATGGATATATAAAAATTATCTTTTTCGTTTTAATTTATTTATTCTATTTATAAAAAAGTCATCGTCTTTCAAAATTTTGAAAGAAAAAATGAGAAATCTCCGATCACTCTTTCAGTCATGACACACATGCTAAATGTGTGATGTCGACACCCAAAATTTGACATCCACTTTAGACTAATAATGTCTCATTTATGAAAGAATTCTAACATTGACATTGAGAATATGTGATTCTACTAAATTCCAAAGATAAAACACCTACACATCCATGTTGCACACAACATGAAGCAAGAAATCAAAAATAAAAAAATCCTTGGACCCACATACAATGCACATAGACAACCTACAACTTGCAACTTAGGACGTTAAATGAGTACAAAATATGCATGTGCTATTAGATAGTCTGATCAAATTTAGTAACTTTAATATAATTAAATAATTAAAATTTAAATCATGACTTTATCTTTTGTTTTTTGGTAATTTTCTTTTACATCGTTGCACGTATAACTTCACATAAAAGTGAGACTTTTTCCAACCTATACAATCGAGGTTAGTAACCAATAAGAAAATACATACATTATGCTAAAATGTATCGATAATGTAAAAAAATGTTTATATTATTGATATATATAAATTAAAATATAATTTGTTTACACATGACTTTGTACCAAACTCCCATTACCCCATGTGCTGAAGTACCGGACAATGTAGCTTTCTTAATTAGAACTCCTTAATCCACCAATTATGACAGCAACCTGCCCTTTAATTATGCATTTAACCTTTTATCCCTTTAATTAGTCTCACCAGTAATATAATTAAGTGAACAGGTAAAGCGGTTAGTCGAACTAGAATCTACTAAAGTTGTTATCAATAAATTACCATATCTGATTTATAATGAAAATATCCTTTATGGAGTACTGTGATTCTTTCTCAAACTCTACAAACGCAATACTTTTTGGATCAAACTATCTTTTTTAATAATGAAATGTAATTTCGACTTGTTGATTCGTGGAAATTCAGTGATTTTATGTATTCCAAACATGATTTTCCTACCCCTAATTAAAGGGTAAGGAATGTTACTAGCATGTCATGCAACATTTTCATAAATAAACAAGTGATTTTATTAATACAAAATAAATTAGAAAAATACTTTTATTAGATAATTTTATCAAGTTCATTTAGAAAAAATTTACTTCGGTCAGTTGTTATAGGAAGCAAAAAACAAAAAAATATTTTTTGTCTGACATGTTTAAACCACAAGATTAAAAGATATTTTGATACATTTTACATATAAATATATATCTTTAGTTTAAAATTATGAAATAAAAAAATCTTACTATTTATTTTCTTAAATTTCGTACCGAGCATAAAAGTTCCTAAACCACTAAAGTCTTGTGTTTATTTTCCCAAACAGTTACTTCGATTGGCTTAAAAAGAAGAAAAAATGAACACTTCATTTTTACGATTCTGTTTGACAAATGACTTGTTTTATATTTATAGGAGTAATTTTATGAAGCAGACATTTAGTCACATAGACTAGAAGTAGGGTTAGGCACTTAGCCATGTGTGACTCATCCCGTTGATATGAAATATTTTATTTCATCTCTATAATATAAATGATGAGATAAATAATTGAAAAACTATCTAATATATTTCTACTCAAATATAGAATGAAATAATTCTGCATTTTATTTCAGAATTATTATACTTTATACTTCACAACTCATTATCCTCGTCTTCTACACTTATTACTTTGTACATGTTGAATTGTAGATAATATAAAAGTAATATCCTAAAATCTAGGTTGCGTACTTGTTGAACTGTTGTCAAAACTTAGAACAATTAACTGAATTAAGACACAACAACTTAATTAAAAACTATATATATTAATAAACGTATGGTGCGTGTCTATGCCATTTGGTTATCCATGTTGAGGATTGCTAGATACATTGCATGTTGATGAACTGATAATTAATACATAAATTAAGCAGTTTTAATTTATCCTAATGGATTTTTAAAAAAAATGCAAACATCTTTGACCGTTTCTTAGCCAATCATGGGCAATCTTAGAAACACAAAAGAAACAATTCATTCAAAACAGTTATATATTAATCATACACAAACATAAAAGAAACAATTCATTCAAATGTGAAAAAATTGACAAAAATTCATTCAAAATAAAAAATAGTTAGAATGACTTACAGTACTTTCGATCACTGAATTTACTATGAATAAAGCTTCAAAATTCACTATTTTTCCCTAGAAGAAAGAGACGGTGACATTTTTAGTCGGACAAACAATTATCATAGGCACTCACATATACACGAGATCAATAAAATAAATGTCCTCACCTCGGGAATTTTTGCTTTCATAAGTAAATTATAAATAAATGTTGATAAAAACATATGTAAGATCTTTAAAATTATTTAAAAAAATAATATATAATAAAATATATGTATATAATTTATCAGTTCGATTAAGTTATTTCTTATGATTTTTCCGAACAAATCTATAACCAAACTAAATATTATGGATTTTTAAAAATCTAAAACCAAATACAATTAAATCCAAACAAAATTGATTTGGATTGATTTTTATCCAAACCGTGAACACTCTTATGTATCAGTACAATATTTAATGTTGGATTTACGAGAATAAGACAAACTTTGGACGTAACAAATGATGCAATCATTACGAAATCTAACGGCGTAGAATTTAAATTATATGGGTTTGTTAGTGATGCTGGTTTTAGATTAGTGATAATTCCAATCTGATAATTATAATTAATTACTTAAAATACTCCTAGTTTAACGTGATGGTAGAGAAAATCGAAATAGCTTTGTTGGGAATAAATATAGTTAGACATGTTCTCTGTTTTTTCATTTGGTCAAATACCTCATCCATGTGCATTGTCATTGTCACAAATTTGTTGTATCCTTTAATTGAATTTTAATTTATATAAATCATTGTAATATTTCATATGAGTTCATCAAAGTTCTATTTGAGATCATCAAATGCATAAAACTTGGATTTATGTTCATCAAATACATACCATGATTCTTTGACATTAACCACAAAATACTCCTTCTGTTTTATATTACTTAGCTTGACCATTATTGATCTTACATATTTCTTAAGAAGGCTTTAATCAAAAGTATATTTTACTAAATTAAAGATAACTTTGAAACTCTAGATTTGGATTGGTTAGTAAGTGCCACCAAAATATAATGGAGCCAAAAATGTTTCCACCCACAAGCATAAGGTATAGTCATACAAAAGTCCAATATGTTTGACAAATTAAAATACATAGTTTTTCTTTTTCCTATTTGCCTCCATACACCTCCAAACTCTCTAGTGTCTATTACCATCAAATTTTGGAGTGGACAGTTAAATAGAAAATTCAGTGTCTTTCCATTAGAAAAATGGGTCAACTTGATAACCATCCATAGGCAAACCTAAAAGACGCATTTGCACAAGTAGTCTTTTTTTGTAGGACACTATTTATATTATATGGTAATAGAAAAAGAAAGAAAAAATGATGAACCGTTAGTCTACACATGATACATAGATAAATAATCTACAGTTTACAC